GGGGGGGGGGGGGGGGGGGGGGGGGGGGGGGGGGGGGGGGGGGGGGGGGGGGCTGACCTTGCGTAGAGATCCCCACGCGATTACATACACAGATAGAGGAGATGGACATGAGGGAGAAGGAGGGACATGGAAAGAAAAGTAGACGATGGGAGGCTCATGATGATAGGGATGTGTTGGAATGCACTGATAAACCATGATATTCGTGACTCTTGGCTGCCCAGATACTATGAAATACAGAAACATGGTCGCATAACAAGGAACGTAACGTAACGGTGGTGAGGAAAAGAAGAAGAGAGAAAAAAGAAGAAAAAAAAAAGCAAGGTATTTACAGATGGTAGAAATGAACACGTTAGAACATGATCCATTCAACATCACCACCACTGATGTATCTCGACCAGTTGAACGGGCTTCTCCGCCCGACAGTCCTCACCCGCGCATCCTCCCCTTTCAACTCCGTAGCCCACAGCTCCTCCAGAACCTGCAAGGCAGCCAGGTTATTCATGTACCCTGACCGGGCCATCATGCCCCGACACTTGGAGCGCACGATGCTCTGCTGCAGCTCATCGACGCACTCGGACCCGGCGACGAAGAGCGGCCACAGGAGGAACTTCTCGGCGGAGCTGCCCGCCTCCAGGCTGGTGGTGTAGCGGATGACCTGGCTGACCAGGTTCTGAAAGTTGGAGTGGCTGGAGGGGAGCATGGGGCTGGACAGGCGCTCTGTGTAGAGGAGGGCGGCGTGCCGAAACGCTTCGGATACGGAGCCCAGGTCGCGCACCTGCTTCGGCGTGGGCGCCTCGGGGAGGTTAGCCGACACCGTCTCTCCGTCAAACTTCCACCGCCGCAGGGCTTCACGGATCTCCTTCCATTCCTTCCAAAAAGCCGAGCGCCGCACGTCGTACACGCCCGCATACCGGGTCGCGGACGCCACGACGTCGGCCTCGTCGGGTGAGGATCCGGACCCGTTGCCGTCGAGCCTGCCGTGGGCGTGGACATCGGCTGCCTGGCTCGGCGCCGCCTCGGCTGGTGCCATCCCGCGTACCTGGACGGGGCGGTGTTGAGAGAGGAGGTTGAGGCGCCCCAGCCTCGAGATGGTCTTGAAGAGCTCGCCGTCGCAGCCGATGAGATTCTCGACGCCGGCGGGCAGCATATTATCGCCGCCGGCAAGCTGAGCGAGCGGGACGGAGAGCTGTGCTTCGCGGTCGTTGACGCTCGCCGAGATGGCGTCAAAGTGGGCGAATACGGCCTCCATCCATGAAGGCTCACGGCGCGTCATCTGCCGCGATGATCGGATAGCCATGATCCTCTTGACGCCGGCAAACTGGGTGTGGAACTTGGCGATGCCTGACTCAGCCATGCGGCAGTGGGAGAGGAGGAGGATGGTGGCGAGGGTTGAGTCGTCGCTCGACTTGGCAGGGTCGTTGAGCTGCCGGTTGAGGAGGCGGATGGCAAGGTTGCGGTGCTCGCTCTCCTCAGACAGGGGCGTCCTCTCGTCGAGGGCCTGGGCGTCTTGGCCATCGGAGGACGCTGCTGCCGACTCGGCAGCAGCCTTCCTCTCGGCGCGCAGCTCCGCGGACAGCTCACGGGGATCCTGCCCCAGGCTGAGCTTGGTTCTCATCCTCAGGTTGCAGGCGGATAGGGCGCAGATGGCGTGCTGGAGGCTGGGGCTCTCAGCGGCAAGCTGCATGATCTGTCGGCGGAAGGGGTTGCCGGGACCGTCGACCAGGACCATGCCGGGGCACAAGGTATTCGTGTAGTAGTCGATGAAGAAGGGCATCCTGGAGGACAGGCTGTCTCCAGCGGTACCGGGTACGCGGCCACCTACACCAGGGACGTCTGCTGGGCCAGTTAGAAGGTGTAGGCGAGGCTGGGCAGCAGATGGTGCTCACCGAGGGCGGTGCTGCAGTCGCGCATCATCATCTTCTGGTGGCCCATCTGCGATTCGAAGATACCGAGGTGATGAGCCGACAGGTCGGCCGCGGCATGGTGATGGTGGCCGGAGGCGGACGGGGCCGACGGCGGGTAGGCCAGGCTAGGGCACGAAGTGGGAGGGGCGGGGCGGGTCCGGTGGTGGTGGTGGTGGTGGTGGTGGTCCATGGGGACGATGGCAGAGGGAGGGGTCTGGGGAACCGGGGAGTCGTGGTGGGCGCTGTAGCTGTCGTACATGAGTCCCGGGCTGGTGCTGTTGACGAAGGAGACGTCTTCGCGGGGATAGGAGTGGCTCATCGGGGAGATGTAGTCCAGTTCGCTGCTGACGGAGCTGACGGAGGACAGCCCGTCGGTTATGAGGGAGAGCGGAAACTTGTCGGAGAAGCGGGCATCGTGGTCGGGCGAGTAGGCGACGCTGCTCCAGCTGCCGCCTCCGTTGTGGTGGGTCATGGACAGGTAGTCGTACGAGGGCACGGCGGCGCCGTAGGGCGTGACCGGGGCCGAGGCGGCAGACGCGTCGGAGGAGACGGGGATGTCGATGGGGCTCCTGGAAGCGGCGGTTGAGGGAACGCTGGACAAGTCGTCGCCGTCTGGCCAGTGCAGCGACTGGTGGGTGCTGGTGTGAGCGTGGCCGTATAGGTGGCTGTGGTCAGCATGCTGAGCGTGCGCCTGGTGGCTGTGCTGGATATGCGACCGAACATGCGGCTGGGTCGACGGGATCGGGATCTGGACCTGGATCTGGGGCTCGGCGGCAGACTTCCGGTCCGCCCTCCGGCTCTGCACCTGAGCGCTGAGGTTGGACGGGCTGGAGAGGGTGGAGCTGTCGGATTTCGCACGAGCACGGGGGGACGGCCTCTTGCCGGACTCGCGGACGGCCGGGGGTGACTTGGCGACGGGGAGGGACAGTCCACGGAGCTTGCCGCGGGAGGCGACGCCGACGCCCCAGGTGAGCTGCGTCTTGTATCCGGAGCACTCGTTGCTGACCTCGAGGCACTGTGAGCAGTAAGGGCGACGGCGGTCACACTTGACGTTGCGCCTGATGCAGGTGAAGCAGTCGTCGGAGGCACCGCCGGCCGGGGCGCGTCTCCTGCGCTTCCTGGAAGCGATGGCATCCTTGGCCTGGACAGGCTGCTGGTGAGTGGAGGGAGCTGTCATGTCAGACGAGGAAGCTGTGGCCTGTTGGTCTTGCAGTGCTATACGTCGTACGGATTATGCTGGTAACGATGAGGCGAGGGGGGATGGGATTGGGTGAGTGAGTGAGTGAGTGAGTGAGTGAGTAAACGGTGTGAGATGAGGAAGAGAGTGTGATGTGAGAGAGAGAGAGAGAGAGAGAGTAGAGAGAGAGAGAGAGAGAGAGAGAGAAAGCGAGAGTGGTCAAGCAGGATATAACGACAGTATTATAATGACGAGACGGAACCGGCGATGAGAAGCAGAAGCCACGGAGGGAGGGGAGCGGGCTGAGCATTACAGGTATTATAGCAGCAGCCATACTCTACATCTAAGAGCAAGTCCGGGAAAGGCTCTTCAAGCTGCAGCGCTCGGCCTGGTATTAGTTGACTGACGGGGGACGGGGATATAGGTTGGATGGGGGTTTGACTGGTACTCGGATCTCGTACTCGTACTCTCGTGCATTAGATCACTGGGTGGAGAGAGAAAAAGGACGGCTCAAGGGAAAGGAGACCCCAGTCATGTTGCTTTCGAGAGGAGAGGAGGGAGGGGGGTGGAGGGAGGGCGTGTATCTTGTAAGGAAGGAAACCCAAGAGGGTGTGTAGTGATGGATGGTGTGGGCAAGCAAGTAATTGATGGTTAATGGTGGTGGTGGGGGGGAGGAAGAGAGACCAGCAGCCTTGCATTGGGATTGGGGGTGTGGGAGGATGCGGGATGCAGGCCAGTGAGGAGAGCTCAGAGATGTCGAGAGGATCACAAAAGTCACCTCAGCCAGAGGAGTGGGGTGAGGGAGATCAGCGGGTCCATGGTCTGTCTGAGTGAGCGAGTGAGCGGGTGAGAGATAGGGGGAGAGAGTGATCTGGTCTTGAGATATGTTAGGAAGAGAGAGAAAGCGAGAGAGAGTGAGTGAGAGAGAGAGAGAGAGAGAGAGGTGGGGGGAGGGGGAGGGGGATATCCGCAACATCAGGAACCTTGGATCATAGTATACGGAGTATTAGTAGCAGGTTTCTCTTTCTCTCTTCTTCTTCTCTTCTCTTTATCTATTTATCTATTTATTTATTCATCTATATTATATATATATATATATATATATAAATACATTTTACTTTTTCCCCTCCTCTTCCCCTCTCTCCCCCGTCTTTCCCTTCCTCGCTGTTCTAAATTTTCGAGGGTTTCGTTGCTCAGCCTAGTATCTACTAGTGATACGCACGTACGAGCGGAACGGGTCCGGGTCCGTTGCTGCTATCATCGACAGCCGGTATTACAGCGTAACGTGGTCTGTGCCTGCCAGGATCATGACATGGACGTACCGGATGGTGGCCGTGGAGGCGGTCGACCGAAGACGATGGCCGAGCATGTCATTATTGTCTGAACCGCCAGACTGGTAGGTTGCCAATACGCCGACGTCAAAGTGCCACGGCAGCCACAGGTTGGAGGGATATAGATGAATTCGTGGCCCGTCACCGTCATCGGCAACAGCATCGTCGCGGCTTCGTAGTCGGTAACAGTGCCATGTCTGCATCGATTCGACAATGCTCTTATTTTACCTCTATTTAATTTTTTAATCTTTAATCTTTAATTTTCTTCGGGGGTGGTCTCTTAGCTCGTTTATGCGTATCCGTAGACGCCTTTTCCCGAAGCGCCGGCGAAAGGAACACGGTAGCGCTACCAAGTATTATTACATGTGCTAGTATCACATGTAGTAATGATAAATAGTACGAAGTGGTCGGTTCTAGCGATAGTATTGTTTATTATAGTATTATTATTATCACTACTCCGTAGTTCCAGTGGGATAGCATAGCAGACCCATGTTCAGGTACCGGGGGGGGGGGGGGTTGGGAAGTACCAACAAAGAGATGGCAATGCTATTCATACTCGTACTCGTAGATTGAGTTGGGAGACATCGAACCGGATAGAATCACGAGACACGCACAGATGGCCAGATAGACGTGTCTTGCATCATGACTATTCCCGTTCCCGTCTTGACTATCATCTCCAAGAAGGAGAGAAGAAAGAAGGGGGAGATGTGCGAGATGGAAACCTCGTATGGGAGCATGGGCAGGAAGAGGACGATGTGTGGTGCTGGTTGCGAATATGATGCTGCTTGAACCCTTCTCCTGTCTACCTGCCTACCTGCCTACTCTGCTGCTGCCTCGACAAGTTGCGGAACGAGGAAGAGAAGAGCGCAGGGCACGGGTCGGCGGCCACCCTCAGATCAAGCCATCATCGTCTGTCTGTCCTCGGTCCTGTCGTCCCCCTCCCCCCCCCCGTTCATCTCCCTTCGGTGTCGCGTGCAGTTCGGGCAATTACGTCTTTTGGCCTTCCCTTCCGCTCCGGCATATGCAAGCCACAAATTCACAAATCCATTCGTCCAGGAACGAGATGCTTCTGCGACGAAACGAAGCTTTCGTGACTATGACCCAACCAAGTTGGTCCGCAGGAGGGGGTGGAGTAGATAATACTGCGGAGGAGGGAGGGAGGAGGACAAGGAGGGGGGTGGGCTTTGTAGAAGAAGAGAGGGATCTCTCTGTATGTACGTACTCCGCAGTACTCCGCAGTACTCCGTCCATGTACGTATCATCACATTGTTACTTGCCAACCAAGTATCAATATTCGTCATATCACCACTGGAGAGTAATAGCAGAGAGTCTCCCAGGTCATCATTGCACGTAATGCTGATACTACTCGTACCATCACTATCGCTACCGTGAGAGAGAGAGAGAGAGAGAGAGAGAGAGAGATCCTGCCAGAGCAAGGACAGCTGGGGGGTAGGCCTGAGCGGTCAAGTTACATGTTACATATTCCATCGTAGTCGGCAACGCTTCACTGTAAACAGGAGACTAGGCAAGAGGCGCGGCCGACGAGACGGTCACCTCTCATCGTCTCTATCCGTCGTCGCACCCATCCGGGGCTTCTGTTTCAGCACGGATCAGCATCTGCTCTCTCGCCCAACCTCTCTACCCGCGACTCGGCCTCTGACTCGCTGCATCCATCACTGCACCGTTCCCCGTCTCATCTCTCGTGCTGTTCCGATGACTTGGACGTGCGCTGTCGACGGCCACGGCCGACTCCGGCGATCCGACTGGGCAGAACCGGTCGGATCGCCTGATTATCGCTCGTTCCGTCCAAATTCCCTCCCCAAGCCGCGCAGTGCATTAGCCTCGGCCATCTTTCCCACCCTTTTTCCTCTCACACTCTCTCTCCCTCTCTCTCCCTCTCTCTCTCTTTTATAGACTCTCTCATCTTTATTCTGATTCCTTGTTATATATATATACGAATATACCGTATAGAGAACGAAGAGGAGATGAGATAAAATAAAAGCCATGCGGTTCGAATCCACCGGAGAGGCTCCGTCCTCTACATACTTACTACATAGTAATATTAATTAATTAGTATTGGGTGCATAAGATCGGAGGTAACCGCAAGACACTCGATGAAGAAAAAAAAAGAAGAAGAGAGAGAGAGAGACGTGGAGTAATTAATAGTCATGATCATTTCAAACGGTGCACCACTTGTAGTAATATCTATACGGCCATTAAGAACGATGGACTCCGAATCCACGGAGCACGATTGCCATTTGCAGAGTCCGTACGAGTAGGTAGACGAGGACATCAACCACCTGCGGCACGCAAGGCTGGCGACCGTCGTATTGATGGTGCTGCATTGCCCAGCGCTCTTTCTTATACGAGCAGGGCCCGCTATTCGCAGCATCTCTGCAATCACCAGTCATCGTCCCGGTCCCTTCTGGATGGTGACTGCCGACAGGCGCCGCGGGACGGATGCCATCATCTACGTCGAGGCCATCTGGCAGCTGTGTTATCTCTACCGTGCTCGTAGCTGTGATGCTACCTATAGTAGCGTATAGTACCTTTTCCTCTCTCTCTCTCTCTCTCTTCTTCTCCTCTTGACTGCTAGGTCCTGCTCCGCCACACCGTCCTCCTCTCCCAACCCTGACCAGCATCCCTTCCCACCTCTTTTCGTGTCCCCGGCCAAGGCTCTGCATTGTGAGGAGAGTGGAGGCCTGCAAGAGGCACGGAGGTCCTTTTGCAAGAGTTCACCTGCAGCAGCAGCAGCAGCAGCAGCAGGACCGGTGGCAGCGGCGGTACGATGCCGGTGGCGGACATGGAAGACCCAGGCGGAGGGAAACCTGCTTCCGACCGTGCTACGAGGTAGACTCGACCCTCGGGACGAAAATGGTTCGATGGTCCTTCTTCGATATCACAGCCATCACTTAGTTACCAGTAATAGTACGCAGACTAGCAGCAAGACTACTCGAGATGGAGAAGCAGAAAGTCTGTCCTGGACCAATAATCGATCCGGCAATGTACATGCCTCTCTCTCTCCTCTCTCCATCTCTCTCTGTCTCTGCAACTTACCGCTTCTGCTGCCCAGCCATCGGACATGCGGCCAGCATCACCCATGCCAATTCTGGTAAGGCAATGTCTCAACTTTCAACTGCTTGCTTATTTCTCTGCCAACACCATCACATGTCGCAATAATATCATCAACCATCGCCGCCCGGCAATCCGCTACTTGACACCTCTTCCAAACGTTCCGTGCAGGCTTCTTAGGAGGGGGGAGAGGTCACCATCACCACCACCACCACCACCGCCGCCGCCGCCAGCCGTCGACCCTAGTCATCTCTACCTGCGATGCTATTATAGCACTAACCGTTTGAACCCCCAACCCAAGTGGCTCCGGGGGGGGGGGGGGGGGGGGGGGGGGT